AATCCACATATTCTCGTAAAATCATGACCTAGATCGATCCAAATCTATCAGATCCGAAACTTGACTGATTCAGATTTCAGATTTCAGACGTAAAAACAAACAGTCTGACTGATTCAGATTTCAGACGTAAAAACAAACAGTCTGACTGATTCAGATTTCAGACTTCAGTACCACCTCTTAAAATTCAGAAGTGAAATCAGACTTCAGAATCTCTTAAAAAACAAACGCCACCTTAGTCCAATGAAATAATTTTTAAAAACATCAAAATCGTGTCCAACATGTAACCGGATTGATTTAAATTGGACAATAACTTCATCTGGCACTCGTATGCAGGGGCGGATGGCCATAGGGGCCTTGGTCCCTGGGCTTTTTTTTTCGATAGAGTGAAGTATCTTCAGTTTATTAAGGTTTTAAGTATAATTTTTTTTGGACCCCTTCACTATTGTTGATCCAGTCCATTTGTGTTACGCCTCTGCTCTGATTAAAACAGTAATTTGGATTTCTTTTTAATGTAGGATGTACTCATGCAACTCACGTGATCGACACATATATTAATGTTGATCATAGTATGCAAATAGCATCCTAATTTAACATCATGCTTCAAAATCAACTTGTTAGAACTTATTTTAAGGGGTTGTTTGTTTATTTCTTAATAGTTTTATTAAAAGTCAGTCTCTGAATTGTTAAGAGATGAATCTTGTTTGGTAAAAGAAATTATGTCTCTTAATGGTTTAAAACCCTCTGGATGATTTTGTATCATGAGCTTCCCTTAACCATTGAACGCCTGAATTTCATTGTAAATAATTATCAAACAATTATATTTTATTTACACTATATCATGAGAGCCTTTTAATCATTCTGACAATTTAATCATTATGTACCAAATTATTCAGCAACTGTAAATGTCTTAACTCAAATTTTGGTTATTGGTGTATATTTTAAAATAATCAACAATAAAAAGAAATAGAAAATATTGGATTTAAATTGGTGGGATCACTTTTTTTTTTAACGGGAAACCGTAATGAATGAACGTGGAAGGATTGTGATGATGATGATGGTGTAGAGAAAACTGCTTCTGCAATCGCCATTGAAATTCTATTGTTTCCCCAAGAATCTAGATGAGACAGAGATTAGGGTTTTGTTGTTCTTCAATTAACCCACAATCAAAAAATCCAATTGCAATTGATGGTAATACCAACATGGTGGTAAGCGAGACACTCGATCCGTTGCTTCAATTCCAAGCTGCAATTCTCGAAGAAACCCCAATCTATGGACAACGAAAGGATTGCACAACACAACTTCGTAATCGCCCTTACCTTCTTCCTTCTTTTGCAGGCAATTTTGTTTATATCTTTTCGTTTTTCTCATTCTTCATCACCTAACTTTACTTTGATTCATTCATCTTCTCAGGTTCTGTTTCAGTTCGTATGTCCTTTTGATTCCTTTTCTCAATCTCCCAGGTTCTTATTCTCGACGGTTTATGTTCATATTCTTATTTTCTGATCTAGGGTTTTCCCCCATTGCGTTACTGTTGTTTCTCGTATGGGTATTGATTCAATTACCTTTGTTCTTATTGCGATTAAAGCAATTTTGCAAATGCTGGCGAATTAACGTTTCTATTTGATTCAATCGGCAGATCCATAGCGAAAGAGGACTAGTTGTTCACGGGGTTTGTTAGGATCGTACGTTTTCAAATCTCTATACTATTTTTCATTTCTCAAAAGAATGAGGGATCATTTTGTGTTGCTGGTTGATCGATTGCTCACTGAATCAACTCTTGAGGCTGCGATTGAGACTGAACATAGATTGCATAATTGCACAAATGAAGAAATGGTTGCTGATGTTTCTTCTCATAGGATGGATCTCAGTTTCGAATCATCAGCCAAGAAATTGGTGGAATGCAGGATTTGCCATGATGAAGATGAAGATTCGAACATGGAGACACCATGTTCATGCTGTGGCAGCTTGAAGGTTTGGCGTTCTTAATCTTTAATTCATGAAATTATCTCGTTTTTTGATGAATAGATTTCAAGAAACCTTGAATTATATGACTCCCATTTGCTACTTGTAGATCATTTTCGGTTAATTCAATGTGTTTACAGTACGCCCATCGTAGATGTGTTCAACGGTGGTGCAACGAGAAGGGAAACACTATATGTGAGATTTGCCTCCAGGTTCGTCTTCAGTAACGACGACCATTTTAGTCATTAATCCACTCTCTAGTTTTTATTCATTTGTGAATCAAACAAATCCCTCCATTTCACTTATTTACGCGATTATTCTAGATGCATGGGCATTGATAGGATTTTTATTATATGATTTTTGGATACTGGTGTAGAGGACAGGTCTGTGTACATCCACCCCACACCCTACTTTCAAGTGGAAAATACTGGGTTCGTTTGGTTTGGTTTGGTTTGGTTTGTGGATTATGTTGTAGTAAATACACGAAGAAACACAACCCCGATAAGGTAGCAAAAGGATACAACAAGCAAATTGTTATCCTTTAAGCCTTAAGGGTGCATCTGGTACATGGGAGATGACTGAACAAAAATTTGTTGTCCCCACGTTTGGCATAGGTTAGACTATGACATGACATGACTGAGTGGTAAAAAGCATTTTTTTTTTGTCCCACCAAAATAGGTGGAACAAAAATTAGGGGATGTGACAAAATTGGTAAATTACTAAATTATCCATATCAAATTAAAACCATAAAACTTTTCATAAAGTTTTCACCTGCTTACCTCACTCTTGCCTGTCCGGTCTTGTAAGTTTGGTCTCTCCATGTACTAAACGCTCCCTAATTCATCTTAAATTTTTTAGGCTCCATATCCAACAAATATGTGTTCTATGCTGCCATAATATGATGATCCTTTGAATTTTCTTTGTTGTTCTTTGAGTTTCAGCCGTTCAATCCCGGTTATACATCACCACCTCCGTTGTTCCATTGTGATGGCATTCCGATGAATTTCAGGTGTCGTTAGACCTCAAGAATCTAGATTTGCACGCATGTTTGCTAGATTCCTGTCACCGGTATAAATCAATTGGTTCATTATGTTCTTTAGGGGAAACTGGGAGATTTCCCAAAGGGATCTCTACAATTTGCGGTTTTCAGCAATGGTTTCAGCTGGTCATGATGAACCCGACTTCGATGAGTATATTACGCCTAGTTCAAGAAGCTTGATGTGTTGTCGTGTAGTCGCTGTAATTGTATGTTCTCTCTMTCTCTCTCATTTGCTGAACACTAAAATCCCACTGAAATCACTTAAACCTTGAGGGTCAACTCCACTGGTAAACAAAGTCGCCAGTTTGGGTCTCCTCAATGTCACTGGGGATTATCTTGACTGTTATCTTTTGGGCGCCATGGAATTAGTTGAGTTGCGCACACGTTGGTGCGAACACCCATGGTTACGAGAAAAAAAGAAACCGAAAACAGTCAAACCGGACTTTAACAGAACCATTTGTCTGAATTTGTGGTTTTTTGGTGTCGGTTGTTGATATAATTGCAGTTTATTACTCTTCTCGTGTTGCGTCATACTCTACCGATCATCATCGATGGCACCGGAGGATACGCTGTTACAATGTTCACGGTAACCTGGCTTGATCACTTGTTTTTATTTCGAAAATTGACCTTACTTCCTTAGTTTTGAACTATTTTCCCATCGATGCAGTTGATCATGTTAAGGTGCATCGGCGTTATGCTGCCAATATATATCATGATTAGAGCTTTTAGTGCCGTTCAACGCGGCCAGCAACTACCGGTAAGAGTTTAAACTTGAATTCAAGAAGATCAACATTTTATCAAAGATCAAGATTTAACATGTCAAAGGGTCATTGGCCCAGCAGTACCTTGATAGATCCTAACCTCCCTGGAGGTCAAGGGTTCAAGCCTCGAGTGTGTTGAGTTTTGCTGTATTATACGCTACAGTGTAAAAAGCTCTTTTGTTATGATTTGTTAGGATCAGCCGTACTTCTCGGATGAAGAGAACGATCTGCCACGATCACTGTCTCATCCAAGTCTCATTCGTGCCCAATGATTTCCGTCAAGTGAAACGGACCTTGGATACGTTGTCCGTATGCATCATGGAGCTTCGTTGGGACTAGAAGATTCCCGTTGGTGCAAAACTCCGAAACCTCGAGTATCGTGTTTATACGTTTAGAAGATCGACGAGATAGGTTGGTTATCGGAGGGGGATAGAGAGTGTGGATGATTTATATACGTAATCCGGTATCGTATTTAAATCAACTAAGGAGTATGAATATACTTTGGAGGTTATCAAAATCTGCTAAAATTTAGAACGTATCACAAAATAAAAAATAAAAAAGTTAAACGACGTCACACGATTTTCAATCGGTGTCATTTACATTAAATTTAGTTCAAATAACTCTTATTTTAATTTTAAATTAAAAAAAGGTATAAAATTAAAAGGGTTTTTTTTACAAACTTAAATGAAGAAAATGATTTTTGTCCCAAGAGATTATTCAAAATGTTTAGATAACCGTTTAAAATTTATTTAATATGAATGATAAATATTTTTTTATTACATTTAAAAAAATAAATAATATTTTATTAAATAATGTTTTTTAATTAAATGTTTAAGAAAAATAGACGATAAATGTGTACAATATCTAATTCTGATATAAATAAAGGATATTTTATGAAATAAAGAAGATTATTAAATTTTAAGGAGAAATAAATAAATAAAATATTATTAAATGCACAAAATATTTGAATTTGATACGTAATATCTTACGAAATAAAATAATTAAATGTTTAAAAAAATAAATGATATTTTAATAAAATAATTAATATTGTAATTATAAAATATAGATAATTTTTAATTTACTTTTTTATTTATACAACGAAATTTATAAAATCTATTGACAATGCTTTAAAATTTGATTTTTTAAATTTTAAAATAATATATTATTATTTTATATCAAATATTGAAAGAAAAATTGTTTAAATTTGATACGTAATTGAATACATTACTTGTTTTCAAGATTTTCAATTACTTTGAAAGCGATTGAAGATCCTATAAACCCTTGTCTTTTGAGTAACTTACAAATTCACCCTCCAAATATCTTTCTATGTTTGATGAAATTAATTGGATTCTTTTTATTCGATATTGATATAGAACATTCGAACTTTTTCACTAAATTCCTTGATTTTCTCGTGGAATCCGTTTTTTGCTCCAAAGGCCTTTCTCCGTCCCCACCGCCGCCCTTCTCTACTCTGCTTTATCTCTATTGGTTATTATTTTTAAACATCGCAAAACTACCATTTTTGTTTGGGCCTTATTTAATGAAATAGATATAGTGAAACTGTAGAACCATCATCTACTCTTCGTGAACTGGTTTGTATGAAATCGATAGAAACACCTTGAATCAGTTTCAGTTATGCGTACATGTATCAACTATTGCTCGATTAGCAATTTTGGTTGTCGAGCTGATCAAACTCTTTGTATTAGTTGGGTTTTTATTTTCATTTATATATGGTTTTACAGTTCTAGTATAAAGTTTGGTATTTTCGAGTAATCCAACATTGTATCAGAGGGGCACTAACTGTACTCAGTATTCTATCATATACGTATATATGAATGAAAACCACAAAGATTTGACAAATTTTCAGTTACAAAAATCTTGAAATCCATTATTGATTTGGGTTTATACATCTTATGTATCCGTTAATGAACAAAGATGAATATTTTATTATCTAATGACATTTTTAGTAAAAAATAAAATCTTTGAGATGTTATCTTATTGTGTAGATTTGTACTGTAACTTGAATTATTTGTAACTTGTAAACACAATAGGCAAAAAAGTGGGTAAATCTGAAAATCGAAAATATAGAGTTGAAAAGATGGTGATCGGATTTTTTTTTTTTGCAGGGGTGAGAAAGAAAACCAAAAATGGTCTAAAAAAATCAAGTTGAGAAACAACTGATAAGTGGATAAACCGAAAACCCAAAAACCATTACCAAATCTATGGTTATGTTATCACTTACGATATATGGTTGATTGTCATTTATCAGCTTAGTTCTCATTTCATTCTATCTGACCAAAATAATCCGTACTTACTCTTTCTTGTTCATGTAGAAAACAACTCCTTTTATAACCTTCAATGCTTAATTCAAATATGGCATAGAGTTAAGTATGCACCACACTCTCTGTGGTAACCCAGATTTTCCCTTGATCTTCTATATGTATAGATATTCTTAGGGTTTCAAAAATTCAATACTGACACGAGGTTTGTCATCCCAAAATCCATGCAAAGCATCTGCGTTACATGCATATTATGGTAGTCTCACTTTAATGAAATCAATGGCCATGAATGAGACGTGCATGAGGAGGTTGTGGGAGACCGTTTTTGTTGTCTAAGAAGAATTATCAATTATATTAGAAAATCATAACCAAAAAGAGTTTTTACACTGCGTCTTTATAAAATGCTAGTTGTTAGAAATCTAAAGATGTTAGGTGAACATATCATTCTTGATGTTTTAAGAAAATCTTGAACATGAACTCTTTTTTGGCCCAAAAAAGAAGATTTGGTTTTCTTTATTAACCTAGATATCCAATCCGCAATACGAGCCGACTAATCTCAGAGCAACCACCTGCTTTGTAGATATTTCAGAGTCAACGCATTTGAACCTTCGTAGCCACAAGGGGATTTTTTGGCCATGAATGAGACGGAGGTTGTGGGAGATCGTTCTCGTTGTCTAAAAAGAATTATCAATTAGATTAGAAAATCATAACCAGAAAGAGTTTTTACACTGCGTCTTTATAAAATGCTAGCTGTTAGAAATCTAAAGATGTTAGGTGAACGTATCATTCTTGATGTTTTAAGAAAATCTTGAACATGAACTCTTTTTTGGCCCCAAAAAAAAAGACATGGTTTCTTAAAGCTTGATTTAGAACAAAAGGCCTCGACCTAAAATGATATGCAAATCAAAGCCATCTCTTGTGCTATTAAATGCAGTGAAATCAGTACATGTCTATTTGTGGACGTACATAAGTATGTGTGTTTGCCAAAGCCGTGGAGGGAACGTTCAATGTTTTGCAACGAACACGTTTACCAGGTGGATTTAAAAGGTGTCTTTAGTGGACAACTTATTTAGGGAAGCGACATGCAATTCCATGGTTTTGTATTCAAACCCTAGATTCGTAAAACAAACAACAAAGTAATTTAATTATTTAAAAGGGATCTTGCATACAGAATTTGATTTCAACTGTGTTGAACGAGAGTAAAAACTCTAACCACAATATATTTGCAGAATAATGATGATATACTCATCACGATCAACTATATTAATGGAAAAATGTTTCAAACACAAGAAGTACGATTGAATTTTAAAATAAAAACTAGAAATAAGTGTTCAAACAATATGAACATTGTAGCACTGTATCTTCCCGTGCCATTGATGGCAACAGGTGGAGCATGATGTAACACAACGTTATAAACTATAAGTATATAATACAGCTATAACAATTACATGGTAACATGTCAAACATTTTGAACCGAAAGTGATTTACTGATATACACATTAAAGTCATGTTCATCGTAAACTCTTGCTGAGAACTGCAAATTCTAGAACATAATGAACCAAGACTATAAAATTTTGAAGGGTCAGTAATTACCAGTTTAAAACTTGAGGGACTAAAAGAACATATTCCAAAAGTTAAAGGGTCAAATGGCGTTACTCGCTCGAATTTAGGATCCAAACGTGGCGTGTGTACCGTTGATCTCGTCGGTCGTTAAATCGACGGCCAAGATTAAAAGTACACACGTGGAATATCTCCATGAATTCCAACCGTATATATAAATATGTTCGATAGGCCGCCTCTCTCTCTCAATCGCTCATCTCTCGGCCACAATTGAAAACCCTAGACATCTTCTTATCTCTCGATCTTGATCGGTAAGCTTGTGAAATGTCAATTGGATTTCGATTATGATTTTGTTTGATTATGTTACGTTATCTTGATTTATGTTAATACATGTTCCTTTTGGTTGTTAATCGGATGTTTTCGTTATGGATCTCAACTTGTTTGTTTATCAATCGGTGAAATTATCGTGTTGTTTTCGATGAATGATGAACGATGTTATCAGAAAATCAGATATACGTTGTTTTCTTCCGAAATCTGAATCTATTACAGCTGTATTTTTTTTTGTTTACTGTAATCGTACGTTTTTCTATGCCTTTTCAAAGTCGTGGTATTATTACATCTCGGAATTAAATCGATTGGGATGATCTATAGATCTGGTTTATCTCGTGTTTTGTTGTGGTGCGCGTTACCATCTGTCAGGAATCCTGATTGTTGGTAATCGCAGTGGCAGTCTTTGATTATTTGAGGAGATTACGGTCTGATTTATCTTGCTTTGTTAATTGGGTTATCAGCTGTCCTGAGTCATGATAGTCTAATAATGACAGTTGTCCTCTGATTATTTGACGTTCGACGGAACTTGGGTAGGGAAGTTATTTAAATTCTGAGAAATTGTGTAGGAGGGTTGAGGGAAATGGTTGATAAACATGAGTTGTAATTCTTTGGATAGGAGCTTATAAATTTCTTACAACTACTGGACTTAATGACGAAATAAGTGTTCCCATTTGCATATTAAATGATCCGCATAAAGAGTGGCTGTTAACTTTGAATGTGTCAACAATTATGGTTCAGCTGGTATATCGTGGTGACATTTATTGGAAGCTGTTTAGAAGTTACACACTTATTTGTTATTATATATTTTCCATGGATTTTTAAGGATCTTGAGTAATTAGTGCTGGTTTAATAACCACATTAAAGGTCAATATAGAGCTGCCATGGCATACTCGATTAGCATACCGTGATTGACTTTTTTATTTGTCTAATTTTTGTTTATGTCTGTTGTTTGTTGGTGTTATGTGGAGTAAAAATTATGTGGATTGTTCGGATCAGCAGTTAAATTAAAACATCATTCTTTTGTTATTTTTGTGCTTGGTGCACTTGTTAATTGTTATGCAGTCACCATTTGGTGTCTATGCTTGTTTTCCCTTCCAAGTCTAACTAGTGTTCAAATCTTCAATATTTACTTGTGGTTTAGTTGGTAGGCTGGAAGCTTAGTGATAAGAGAATATTATTTGTTATGCATTTCTTAAATTCTGAAGGTTTATGCTATTAATTATGTAGATTATAGCCTTAATGCTTATTTTGTTGACCTTTCTCATTGGCTTTACATAGATTTCTGTTAACCACTTCATACCATCTCTCAACTGCTTTATACAATCTGTAACCACTTTCCTATTGCTTTTACATTTAACGTATTACAATTAAAATACATTGGGGATTTTTATTAGTCCTATGATTTGTTATATACTAATATTTGAAATAATTGTTCACTTTTTCTTTTTGAAGGTTGCACAGCTATCAGCACTCTACAAACTGCAAGTTGGAGTGTGTGAAAAGTTAAAAAGGGTTTTTTATGTCCGAGCAGGCTATTCTCTACTTAGGGTGTATCGGGTTGTTGGGAGAGTATTGTCCTATATTCAGGGAGGAGACTCCTTTCTTCTCGAAACGAGTTGGCTGTATGCATCGAGTGCCATTCCAGGAACATACTGAATTTTGTGGTTGCAGCTTGGCGCAACCTTCAGTCGCTACAGCTGATCGTTCTTTTTGTTCCCAAGAATCTATTATCGACACCCACTTTTTGGCCTCCACTGCTTCGCTCTTCTGAGGATATTCTCCAGGCTTTCTGTACTTGAACCAATAATGGCTTTGCAGAACATTGGTGCTGGCAACAGCGATGATGCCTTTTACAGGTATAAGATGCCAAAGATGATTACGAAGATCGAGGGCCGTGGAAATGGTATCAAGACAAATATAGTCAACATGGTTGATGTTGCCAAAGCTTTGGCTAGGCCGGCTTCTTACACTACGAAATATTTTGGCTGTGAGCTTGGAGCGCAATCCAAGTTTGACGAAAAAACTGGGGTATCACTTGTCAATGGTGCTCACGATACAGCAAAACTTGCTGGTCTTCTTGAGATTTTCATCAAGAAGTATGTTCAGTGTTACGGCTGTGGCAACCCAGAGACGGAGATATTAATTACCAAAACTCAGATGGTTCAACTGAAGTGTGCTGCCTGTGGGTTTGTTTCTGATGTGGACATGAGAGACAAATTGACATCGTTTATTCTGAAAAATCCACCCGAACAGAAGAAAAACTCGAAAGACAAAAAGGCGATGCGGAGGGCTGAGAAGGAGCGACTAAAGGAAGGTGAGGCAGCTGATAAGGTACAGAAGAAGCTGACGAAAGATGTGAAGAAGGGATCTTCTTCTTCTAAAGATGGCCATGTGAAAACCACATCTTCGAAAAAGAAAGGGAATGCTTCAGATGAGGATCATGTTTCTCCAACTGTGAGCCAGGCTGGTGACAAGGATTCTGAGGAGGAGGATGATGTCCAGTGGCAGACTGACACGTCAGCAGAAGCGGCTCGCCAACGCATCCAAGAACAGCTTAGTACTGTGACGGCTGATATGGTGATGCTGGCCACTGATGAGCCGGTGAAGAAGGTGGCCAAGCCAGAGGAGAATTCTAATGGTAAAATGAGTGGCGGTAAGAAGCTTGTTGATACAGCTAAAGAGAGTCTGAAAAAGGGCGTTGGGCCGAAGGAGCTTATGGCATTGCTGTCTGGTTCACGCCAGGAAAATGTGTCCGCTCTTTATGAGGCGTTACTGGATGGTGTGGAGAAAGGGTTTGCGAAACACGTGCTTAAGAAGAAAAACTACTTGGCTGCTGTTGTGGTTGAGGGGGAGGATTCACAAATGCTGCTTTTGCGAGCAGTAGAGGAGTTTTGTGGGAAGGCAAACCCGAATGCAGTGAAGGAAGTGCCGCTTGTTCTGAAAGCATTGTATGATGTGGATATCTTGGAAGAGGAATATGTAGTTAAGTGGTATGAGGAAGGATGCAGTGGTGGGAATAAGAGCTCTTTGATCTGGAAGAATGCAAAGCCGTTTGTGGAATGGCTTCAGAGTGCGGAGTCTGAAACCGAAGAAGAAGAAGATTAAGAGGTTCCGTTTCTATCTTTTGTCTTTTAATTAAGTCGTAGTTATCATATATGGGTATGATGTTTGTTTTGGTTCTGTTATGGTTGTGTTGTGTTCTGTTCTGTGTGTACCATGTGGTTTGTTAGCACTTGGTATTAAACAATAAATCGTGTCTGTTTGTTATTGTGGTGGTGTTGTTTTGAACCCAAGTTATGCTGGGTCTGTTTGGAATCGGTTCGAGTGAATTACTTACCAATTGCTTTTGAGTTCTTTTTATATGCGTCGAGTCTTTTTTTGTCATAAATGTTGAGATTGAGCATGTCTGTCATTGTTGGGTTCTAATCCAAAGTTTCTTGATTCCCCATTGCATTGAAGGAGAATAGATGTTGGTATCATCTTAAGCTAGTATGCATACTTTACATTGGTCTCATTCTATCAATGGGTTTAGAGACATACTCATCCCATATGGAATGACAGATCTTATATATGATTATAAATGAATAGTTTGGTTGAAAGACTACATATGCAACGATCACATAAAGAACACTTAGGAGCTGTTTACCACACCCTTATCCTGATAAGGCTTACCAGATGCATATGTTAAGGATCAATAATCTTACCCGGTAGGATTGTAGGCAAGGACCGGAAGTCTTATCCAGTAAGTGAGGGCAACGACAAATGTTTTGGTGGACTAAAATCTTATATGATAAGTAAGTGATAATGGTGAATTTTTGCCCGTAAACACTTATTCGGGTAAGTGTTTTGGTAAACGGCCACCTGCACTTGTATAACATACAACATAATGAAAATAAAGAATAATATTTGACTTACATACAACATAATGAAAATAAAGAATAATATTTGACCTGGGGATATTATTATGAGGGTGTTATATTATGCTTAAAATGAACACAATAAAACATCTTTAGCCTTTTCGGTACTCCAACATAATCCGACATGTACATTTAGGATATGTTTGGATAATCTAAATACCTCTAACTTCCATTAGAAAACTTTAAAATTAAATATTTAGATATAAAAACAATATTTTATTACATAAATTGAAATTTTTAATAGTTTTATGTTGGAGTTGAATATATTTTTATTTCAGAGATTTTAAAGTTATATTTTTATTTTAGAAAATTTATTGAAAATGCTCTTAAATTACTCAATAAATATACAAAAACTGAAAAAACTTTTAATTATTGAATTCTCTTATCACTTTCTATTTAATAATTTGATTAAAGACATAATAAACATTTTATATTTTCCAACAAAATAGCGTTTTTTCATGTTTTTAGTAGCGCTGTATGCATGTTGGATTGTTCCGGTTGGAAACATCTGAACAATCCAATCCAGTATTTACGGTTTAAAAAATCTTAAACCTGAACCAGGGGCGGAACACAAACTTTCTAACCGTAGGGGCCGGAACTAGTATATTATATATCTCAAAGGTACCAAAAATACATTATCCAAAGTTATAACATAGTAAAACTTTAAAACTAAACGTTAAATATAAACATGTGAAACATCGCAAATCAAAGTGGAACCCGTCTATCTTTCGCGACCTTG